TTGATTCAAAAGACAAAATATCAACGAATAAATTTTAAAACATTTTTCACACTGCTACACAAGGTAAATTTTTTTCAAATTCATCTCTTTTTAATCTTGTAATTTTTTAAACTTTATCAAGTGAACTTTTAAACGAGCTCTCGAATTTAACAGTAACTCTTTAAAGAATAAATATTTTTTATAATTTTTATAAAAATTTTATAATTTTTAAATCTCTTGTTTCAAATAAAGTTTGATATTATAAAAAAAAATTAAATAAACCAATTTTTTTAAAATTTTTATTAAAATATTTTTTTTAAAAGTTATTTAAAATTTATATTTAAACTTTGCCGTTGTTGAATTTAAAAAAGTTGTGTTTTAACATTGCGCAGGCATGTATTGACATGGGCAGCTGTGGTGCAGTGGTTATAAAAATGGCCTCAAAATCAAGAGGATACAGGTTTAATGCCTGCTATAGCTATATAAATGACATCAGTAAGGAAGATAATGCAAGCTTTATTCTATTGATTATGCAGATCATGTCACCCAGCCAAGTTTTGAGTTGCCCATTGCAATTTTTATAAAAATTGTTTATATAAAAGAACTTTTAAAAAATGATTTTTATGTATACTGTTTTAACCAAACTGCCAAAAGTATGTGCTCATCAATTTTGATTCAAAAATAAGTTTTCCTTTGATCATTGAAAAGTGTGTCTTTTTGACAGTAATTTTGTGGAAAACAACCACATGGAAAATGTTTTTAGTATTTACAATAGAAGTTTTTAACTGGCAATATTGTGCTAAGAATAATAATTAATAAAGAAGATAGTAGTAATATAAAAAATACTATAAAGTATTAATTAGTTTTGATTTCGAATAGGATGGATTTTGCTCTCTGTGTTGTTCAACAACTTGCAAAATAAATTGTCGTTGTTCTTCATTTTGCCCACAACCGCAGAAATCACCAATAAGTTTGATTCCTTTTTCGGCGCAATCACTTGTTACCTCTAATTGTTTAACAAAATTTTCTGCAGTTCGATAATCTTGAAAGAATTCCCACTCTTGTGGATTCATCTGGAGCTATTCCTGGTTGTTTATTAGTCCTAATAAATCAAAAAGAAGCCACGACCGTGGTCCAATTAAAAAATAAATAAAGGTTGAAGAATTTAATGTCAGAAATTTTGCATCAAATAAAAAAGACTAATAAACTCAGCCATGCGGTGGATCATAATTTGCTCATTATTGGACATAATAAATTTATTAGATAAGAGTTCCATTTTTAAAATATATATAGAATGTGACATAAATCTCGCATTGTGAATTGCACCTGGTTTGTGAATTTTGAATATTCTGTCCATTGATAGTTTTCCCCAAATGGTAGATAATAGTTAATTCAATTAACTCAAAATAATCTTCTCGCTGAAATATTTTCTCTTCGAGGCATTGGTAAGCCCATTTCAGAACTAAACTTGCTTGATTAAATATTTCTGATTTAATATCAGCAGGCCATTCAAAAAAATTACGTTTGAGTAATCAATATCAATTCTAGAAAATTCGGCTTGGAAACATTTAAAAATTGGTTCATCTGGACTTTTGCTACCTCCTCGTAATGCGGTAAATACATGTTTGATGCGTAGCTCATTATGATGATGGCGACATGCTAGCCATAGGAGAGGTCTCTTTAACTCAATTTCAATTAAAGTTGCTGCATCTTTTTTATTTCCTGTGTTGCTTGCTGTTGTATCAAAGCATATACCAACAATGTTTTCCAAAATGTTCCAATCTTGCGCTTTTCACGGCCACGTCACATTGAGTTTTACCTGTCGAATCTTTAATCAAAGGTACACCAATAAGTTTCGGCCTGCAAATAAAAGTTAAGTTAGTTTCTTTGAATACAAAAATAAAAAATATACATAGGATTTATAAAAATAAATAAATAAGTACCCGTTAAGAGATCCACTAATAAGAACTGCTACACGTTCTTCATTATGAGCTATGTCTAAATGAAAAAGCTTCGAATCCCAGTGCAAAATGGTCTTTTTAGATTTGTTTATCTCCCAGTCTGATTTGTTATCTCCCATTATCTCCCATTATCTCCCAGTCAGCTTGACAGTTTAATATTCTCCCGCGCACATTTTCATATTTTCACAGTTGATACTGACAATTTTATCAAGTTTGCCTCCGCTTTTGCAGATAATAGTGGATTGAAATAGAAGTTGTTGGCGAACTGATAAACAACATCGATCTGCTATAGATGCCGTTACTTCTGAGAGCTTCTTTTCTGATATCTCTAGTGAATTTATTAAAGGCATTTTTCTTTTCTTTAGTGGTAAAGGAGTAAACTCTGTATCTTTTTGATCTTCTTTATCTGCACTTTCAACTTCACTGACTTCAAAGACACTCGATTTTTGATCTTTGGTTGAACTTTTCAGAAAATCAATGCTTAGTCTATCTTCTCGACGTTCTAAAAATTTTGAAGCACCTAGATCGATGCTACCTGTCATGTGACAGCATCGATCTAGGTGCTAGTCTACTAGCTTATATAGGGCTTAATAACAAAATATCGATCAAGGATACCTGTCTGCTACTCTTTTGATCTTCATAAAATGCCCAATCCTCTTTCCATTTTGGTCTACATGATACTAATAACTGTTCATATGCATTTACTGCTGAAATGTTGCAAAGTTGCTCAAGTTCATTACAAAATCTGACAATTTTTTCTTTTCCAGCTTTAACATTTCGACTTGCTTGATCAATTTTTTTTATTTTCACCTTTTCCACAAACAATTTGGTAAGCAATGAAAGACAAGAGTTATCTGATCAAATTGGTACTCCAGCTTTTTCCCAAACTTTCTTAAGCTCACCAAGAACAAGTTTAAAAATATCTCTTGCAGAAGTGTTGCCTTTTGAATAAAAATGTAAATGAGAGTATCTACCCAAAACATGTCTTTTTGTTGGTAGACGAATAAAACTTGATAATTTATTGGATTCAGGGTAACCAATTAACCAATCTTGATTATTTTTTCTTAGGTTCATCGTTACAATAAAATATTCGCTTATCCAACTAGTTTTATGATTGTTTTTAAATTTCAATTTTGCTAATTGATATAAGAACCAATTTTTTTTTATAAGTTTATGAAATTTATATACATACGTCCAGATGTTTATTTTGCAAACTATTTAATCACGCAACAACTTTTAGTGGTCAATTATGCTCAAAACATAAATTATGCATTTTAAAGGTGAAGTTTTTTTAAAGCATTTAAGCAATTTAAAAAAAAAAAAATATGTTGAAAAAATAAAACTTTATTTTATTTAATTCGGCGACCTCTAGACATTAACCAATATTTTTGAAAATTTGGCCAAATGTTTATCAGATAACCTTTATTATACACACCAGGTAACATAAAATTAAATTAATTATTTTTTAAGTTATTCAAGTTTAAAGTTGAAAAAAGTGTAAAAACGCTATTTTTTCAAAATGGCGACCTCTAGATGACATTTTAAAATTTTGAAAATTTTTTAGACTTTTTTTTGGCACATTATTTACCCTGTTATGCATGTAGCGTAACCATTTTCGAAAAATTGTTGGAAATGAAACACCCTAATGGTTATTATTTGACTTCTATGAGACATTATGACAGAGTGAACAACTTAATTTACTAACAACTATTAACATATTAATAAAACATAAGTGCAGTACCAGGCAAGACTGGTAGCCATATGTAAGGTGCATCCTTTTTGTACGATGCACATCAGTTGACATCTATTGGTTCTTCTAGGTAATTTTTGCTAGTCATATCCTGAATGGATTTAGGTATTACTGTCATTGCATTAAGTAAAAGATCGTTTTTGTAGATGAACTAAAATTTAGAAGTCTGTTGTGTTATAAGCAAATTTAGAGTAGAATCACCATTATTCTTTTGCCACATATTGAACAATCAATTTATGAATCTGCAAAAAAGAAAAGAAAATATTATTTTTTAAATTTTTATTTGGCTTTTAAAATGTTTAAAAGGACTACCCAGTCCCGAGACATGTTGTGTTCATATAAAAGAGAATGTTGTGTTCATATTAAAGAGACATGTTGTGTTCATATTAAAGAGACATGTTGTGTTCATATTAAAGAGACATGTTGTGTTCATATTAAAGAGACATGTTGTGTTTATATTAAAGAGACATGTTGTGTTCATATTAAAGAGACATGTTGTGTTCATATTAAAGAGACATGTTATGTTCATATTAAAGAGAATGTTAAAAAAAACAACGTCTGAGCAAATTTCTTTTGATTAAAACTAATTAATAAATGTATACCAAGAAAAACAAATCTTGTTGTTTTAGTCGAAGCTTGTCTTCTCCATTTTCTGCGGTATTTGGAGTCTGTAAAAAAAACGCCATTTTCCAGGCGCATTATACAGACTTGATAATTTATTCAAGTGCGTTTAATTCATAGAAGTTTTAGTACATGACGTCATCGGAAACATTCTAGAAACTCTGTAAAAATTTTACTATTAAATTTTACTAAAATAGCTAACTATAGTTAGTTATTTTATTTTCTAAAATCTTCACATTGAAAAAAACTTTATGTTTTTTTGTAGCTATCAGAGCCGTGGCTACATAAGCCACGGCGATGGTGGACCTAGGGACCCCTATGGCGCCAAATCGAATTATATAGTATCTCCGATAATTCACATGTGTGTTCTTTACATTTTGATGCAAGTTGTTTTGACAAATCTAACGAACACTTAATTAAACCAAGCACTAGGAAAAGATATAAAAAATAAGAATATATTAATAAAATATATAATTTGTAATTAACTTTCAAAATTTTGATGTAATTAACTTTCAAAATTTGCAAGATGTTTTAAGAACATTCAAGTTAATTATGGTTTCCATGTATGTCCGTAAAATAAAAATTAATATGTGATAATTTTTTAATTTTTAAGCCTTTGTCATAATATATATTGGATGTTATAATAATGGAAATATAAATAATAAAATAATATTGCCTCAATACCAAAAAATACATTTTTGAAAATCAGAGAAAAAATTCGTTAATAATTTTTTTTAAATATTTACAAAGTAAATTAATAAAAGTGCATTATTATTTAGGTTAAAAATTATTTTATCTAATATTTTGTAAGAAAAACAAAAGAAATCAAAATGTGGTCTAGATGATTATTTAAAAAAATTTGCGCAAATAAAATACTATTTTGTTTTTAATTTTTTTACAAACACATTTTAGAATTTTAAAATATAATAAAAATGAATATGATTTGGAAGTTGCGTGTAAAAAATAATCGGTGTTTTAAACAAACATACAAAAAAAAACTATGACGTCATGTACTAAAACTTCTATGAATTAAACGCACTTGAATAAATTATCAAGTCTGTATATGTGCCTGGAAAATGGCGTTTATTTGACAGACTCCAAATACTGCAGAAAATGGAGAAGACAAGCTTTGACTAAAACAACAAGGTTTGTTTTTCTTGGTATACATTTATTAATTAGTTTTAATCAAAAAAAATTTGCTCAGACGTTTTTTTTTTAACATTCTCCTTAATATGAACACAACATGTCTCGGGACTTGGTAGTCCCTTTAAAGATAACACTGTAACTGAATTCTTCTAATTTGTTATTAGTGGTTTAATTTTGACTGTGGTAATCTTTAAGTAAATAAGAGATATATTATCCAGAAAACCTGGAAACAAAAATTTAAAAAAGCTTTTAATTAAATGAATTTACTTTGTTAATGATGATCATTCTATTTTTGACAGCTTTGTTAATGATGATTGTTCTATTTTTGATAACTTTGTTAATGATTGTTCTATTTTTGACAACTTTTTTAATGATGATCGTTCTATATTTGACAACTTTAAAAGTTTTTGATAATTGAATCAGTAAATGTTTATGCTTTGAAAACTGTTTACTATTTTTATGACTTTATGATACATTATTATGATACTTCCAAAAAAAGAAATATTTGCTATTTATAAAATAATGCATACAATAGACAACTTGTCTAAAATTATTTTTTCTTGTACTAATGAAACAAATTGTAGTTGATGTACCTGCTGTTATTATAGACAATGGTAGTTACCTAGTTTCAAGTAATACTTGAAAGTATTACTTAAAAAAAACTTTTGTAACATTTTATAGAGACAAAGTTGCCTTTCTCTAAATTTTTGACAATATAATCCAAATTTTAGACTTACGTTATGCATAGACAAAAAACGTTTAAAAATTTTGAATAATGTTGTTTGTCTATGTTCATATTCCATATAATTGTACTAGTTTGATTGTTATTCCATATAATTGTACTAGTTTGATTGTTATTCCATATAATTGTACTAGTTTGATTGTTTTCTATTTATATATATAATATTAAATTATTTTTTTGAATCTATGAAAACATAAAAATGTTTAGTTTTTCTGATAATCATAAGAGAATAATGGTTGTTAAACAACTTAATTACTTCTCTAATAATTTATAAATAATTTTAATATGAACTATATATAATAAAAATGGTTTTAGTATATTTTATTGTGTTTTGCAATATAAAGCACAGAGAAGAAGTATGTGAGTTTGTTTTTAACATATCTACTTTTCGAATAATTTTAGGTCCCAGGAATATTCAGTGGTGAAGAATTTGATCATTTGAAATTGCCTGTTGAGTTTATTAAGGCATGCAAAGAGGTATTTATTGGATTGATTTTTGCAATTTGTTTTATTCGTTTGTTTTTAAATTTTAAAGTTGTTTTTATTTAATAATTAATTTCATTCATTATTTCTGTTTCATTGAATAATTTTTTTTGTTGAGTCTTAATCATTTTCCTATTTTTTCCGGTTGATTAATTAATTACATCTTTTCAGTTTCATTAAATAGTTCTGTCTATTATATCTGTTTGATTAATTAATTACATCTTTTCAGTTTCATTAAATAGTTCTATTGTTTCTGTTTGATCAACCAATTTCAACAGTTTTGTTTAAATTATTACCAATGTTTCTATTTGAAGTTTTACTCATTATTATTGATGGTCTTGTTTAATAAAATAATTAAATTATTTCTGTTTAGTTAAATATTTAAATAAATAATTAAAAAGTAACAAATAAGAACAAGTTTAGTACATAAATAAATGAAAAAACTTGAAAGATTTTTTGATTGCAAAGTTGTTATAGAAGAAGCTGTTAAATTTGTTAATTTTTGATTTCTGTATTCATTGTTCTTTTGTTTATTAAAATACTTAGATTAATATTGTTTCAAATGTTAATTAATTCCACAATTAATTCTGCTTAAATAGTCCCTCCATTTGTTTCATTGAATAACTTTAATTGTTAGATTAAATAACTCCAATTGTTTATTTAAATAACTTAATGTTTAATGGCAAATGTATATTTTTTTGTTTTATTGACTAGTTTTAATAATTGTTTTTATTTGATTAACTTTATCAATTATTTGTTTAAAAAGATCCCAAAGCTCCAAGACATGTTGTGTTCATATAAAAGATAATGATAAAAAAAAATGTTTGGGCTAAATTTTTTTGATTAAATAATATATAATATATAATAATAAAAAATAAATGCATATAAAGAAAGACTACCAATTTTATTTTAGTCGAAGCTCACCTTAACTGTTTTGTTGTAGGCCAAAAAGTCAGCATAATATACGCCCCAATCTACAGGCTTGATAATTTATTCAAGCGTGTTTATTCCTAAGAATTTCATTACATAACATCATTAGTTTTTTTGTTTGTGTAAAAGATGGATTGTGTAAACAAACAAAAAATCAGATGTCATGTACTAAAACTCTTAGGAATAAAATGTGCTTGAATAAATTATCAAGTCTGTAGATTGCGGAGTATATTATGTTGAGGGGAGCTTTGGCTAAAATAAAAAAGTTTGTTTTTCTTGGTATGCATTTATCCTTTTTTTTTAATAAAAAAAAAATTAAGCTAAAACATTTTTTTTTATCATTCTCTTTAACATGAACACAACATATCTCAGAGGATTGATATCCTTTTAATATAATAGTTTTGCCTATGGTGTTCTGTTAGGTAATTCCATCAATTGTTTTTGCTTTATTAGTTCCACTCGTCATCAATTGTTTCCACCCATACTGTATTAAAAGGGTTCTAAACATAGTAAACATTTTAATAAAAATTGCATTCAAAAATAAGCTTTTGTTTTAATCACTGAAAAATGTGTCTTATTTGAAAGTACATTCACTGTACTTACAAACTTTGATCACTTAAAATGTAAATAAATTAAAATGTAAGAAATGTAAGTATAGTACTTCCTAAAAAAATGTAAGAAATGTAAGTATAGTACTCCCTAAAAAAATGTAAGAAATGTAAGTATAGTACTCCCTAAAAAAATGTAAGAAATGTAAGTATAGTACTGCCTAAAAAAATGTAAGAAATGTAAGTATAGTACTTCCTAAAAAAATGTAAGAAATGTAAGTATAGTACTCCCTAAAAAAATGTAAGAAATGTAAGTATAGTACTCCCTAAAAAAATGTAAGAAATGTAAGTATAGTACTTCCTAAAAAAATGTAAGAAATGTAAGTATAGTACTCCCTAAAAAAATGTAAGAAATGTAAGTATAGTACTCCCTAAAAAAATGTAAGAAATGTAAGTATAGTACTTCCTAAAAAAATGTAAGAAATGTAAGTATAGTACTTCCTAAAAAAATGTAAGAAATGCAAGTATAGTACTCCCTAAAAAAAAATTAGACAAGTTATTAAATCAAACTTTTTGAGGTTTAAAGTTGAAAATATTAAAGTTTAATTAATATTTAAATTAAAGTTGAAATACCAGTTGATAAAAATGTAATAAAAAAATTTATGAGTTTATTTCTAATTCTATATAATTCTAATAGTTTAACTACACTTTAATGTTTTTCAATTTTATTTATTTCAATTAAAGAGCTAAGTGACATTTTATGTTTTGAGAAAAAAAATTTATCAAAGTATTTTTTAAATCTCAATAGTTTTGTAATTGTAAATTAAGATGATAAAAGTATTTGTTTTATTTATTTTTACATAGTTAGATTTGCATCTTTTTCAATAAAGATTCAGAATGTTGAAAAACTCAGTTTTAGAAAATAGTTTAGCTTCTTTTTTGAAAAAATACTTTTTATTTGTTTTTGTTTAAAAGTTTTAGTAATACTATAAAATTTTTTTGATATTAAATACTTTTAAACATTGATAAATTTTTGCTTTTAAGGAATTTTTCAAAGTTATTTTTGTATAAAGGCTTCCGTTTAAGATTACTTTTATTTATTTTTAATATATAATAGATTATTTTTTATTTTCTAGACATTTGATAAAATTAATGTTGTAGAAGATAAATACATTGATGACAAAGATTTTAAGAAAATATCTTCTGATGAATTGTCTGAGGTTGTTATTTTGCATTTATTTAGTCTATAATGTGTATATATATATATATATATATATATATATATATATATATATATATATATATATATATATATATATATATATATATATATATATTAGGGCTGTACCGGATTTAATTTTTTCAAATCCGGCCGGAGCCGGATTTGCCGGATTTCTACTGACAGATTCGGCCGGAATCGGAGCCGGAGCCGGATTTCAAAACAAAACTACAGGAGCCAAAATCCTGTACATCCCTACTTGGTGTTGAGCATGGTCAACAATGTGGACTATTCAGAATACCAAGTGACTGTTGTTTTTTGTTAAACTTCATTGTTGTTATTTAAAAAGTTTTATAGCAATTTCTATATATAAATTAATAGAAATTCTAAAAAAATTCTATAGGCCATATGTTTTAAAAGTTTATAGTAATTCTATTGAACTTTTTTTCCGGGATTTTGTCACTCCGTCACTGTAGTGGATCATTGTGTCTATTTATTTCTGGTTCTTTCGGATATTTCCTTAGTTGAGTTTTAATGCCTTTTAGTAATTGTTGTTTATGTGCCCTGCCACCAGCGGACGTAGACTGAATAATTTTATCAATAAATTGCCAGAGTAATGATGATGATGATGTAGAAAAATTATTAAGCCCGGCTTATTTTGGTGGATTTTCTTCAGTTTTGTCAATCTTCTGTTCAGCATGCTCAGATTGACTTCAATCTTGTTTTTTCAGCTGTCAGTGTTGCCTGTAATGAGGAGAATTTAGTTTTAAATTGTGAGTCAACCAGCCTCGTCAGTATATAAAGAGGTTTCTCTTTTCAATGCTTTTAAAACGCTCATCCAATCACTTGATTAGGGTTGACATCATAGTCTTTATACCTGCATCATTGTAGAATATCGTGTGTCTTCCCTTCAGAATTTTTTGTTGTGTTGTTGTTTGAAATTAGACTAAGCTTATTAAATTATAAAGAAATATAAATACAAATACCAAAACAAATATGAGGTTCATAAAATATAGAATTACAAAAAAAATTGATTTTTATAAATAAAATATTAGGTATACATGTAAACACGGGCCAAAAAAATGTAATAAATATTTGATAAAATTCAAAACTCCGGCTAAAATTATGCCGGATTTGCTAAATTTTTGCCGGAGCCGGATTTGGGCCGGATTTGTAAAAATGGCCGGATTTCGGCCAGAGCAGGAGCCGGAGCCGAAATCCGGTACAGCCCTAATATATATATGTACGCACACACATATGTTTTAGGGTCATAAGCAAAGTAAGTTTTAAGTTCATGTAGTTTTGTCTTTTTAAAGGTCAGATTTTAAAGGTCAGATTTAAGACCTTGCGATTGTGCTGAATGTCATTGCTGAGTCTCAATGTAAAATTACTAAAATAAATAAAAATATTTATGTTTTACAGTTTATTAGTAGATAAGTTGCAATTACATTCTAAATTCTCAAACACCAAAACAAAATAGTAATAAAATAGGAAAGGTTGTATTCAGAAATATTTACTTACAAAAAAATGACTTTACATGAGACAAATTGGCTGAGAATCTACTAATGAAACCAGGATGTATTTCCAACTTATATTAGATTTAAAATTACTCTAGACTTCATTTTGTAAATAATTATGCAGATAACGTATTGGCCAACTTCATTTTGAATTTGGTCAATACTTTGTTTAAACTTTTAGTTATAAAGAAGATTGCAGAACAAATATATTGGTCATGGGTTGACCATTGTTTAAATTTTAAGACAGCAGAATAGTTACAAAACTCAACATAACAGAGAAATATCAATTTTTTTGTATTCAGTTTATATATATAAACTTAATACAAAAAAATCTATATTTCTTTGTTATGTTGGCTTTTGTGACTAATATGGCAAATAAATATATATATCCCTTTGGGCATTTGTTTTTGAAAGTTACATTCTAAATATTTTTTAAATGTCTTTTAAACGTTCTTTATGTAAGACAGTTTAGAAGACGTTTAAAAGACATTTAAAATACATTTAGAACAAATGCCTGCTAGGATATATATATATATATATATATATATATATATATATATATATATATATATATATATATATATATATATATATATATATATATATATATATATATATATATATATATTTATTTCACTTCACCTCCTCAAGTCCGAGAAGGCCACTACAGACGAGGAGGCTACTTATTTTGTGGCTATAACCCTCTCTCAACTCTATAACTCCGAAACACCAACCTTTACGAACAAGGCCGCTGCGCGGAGAAACGAGTTGAGCGGGGTACTACCAGGGACGTGGTGGGGATCGAACTCGGAACCACTCGTTTATGAAGCGAGCGCTCTACCACTACACCACTACCGCATAAATATATATATATATATATATATAGAATATCACTGATGTTATACTCAAATAAAGAGATAGTTATACTCACTGATGTTATGCTTAAACAAATACAACTTTCCCATTTTATAACTACATTGTTTTGGTGTTTGAGAATTTACAATGTAATTGCAACTCATGTACTAATAAACTGTAAAACATAAATATTTTTATTTATTTTAGTAACTTTACATTGAGACTCAGCAATGACATTTGGCACAATTACAAGGTCTTAAATCTGACCTTTAAAATTTATATATATTTTAAAGGTCTGAGGTTTTTTTTAACTGTAATAAATCTCTTCAGGACATTTGCTCCAACCTTATCTTATCAGGCTATGTATGTACACTCTTTATTTGAGTATAACATCAGTGATATTCTGTGTTGCACAAACCAGCAATCAATAAATAAATTATACTATAAATTCTTTAACATTGATTGTACTAAGTTTTTTAGTTCTTGTGTTTTATTTTCATATATTAAGTGTGTTACTGTATGCTTTAATATATTTAGTTCATATTTAGGATATTGAAGCTTCTATAGGAAAGCAATTTGAAACAATGGTTAATATTGTTGATGAATTATTAACACAAGAATCTTTAGGTATTTTTATATATTTTTAATATCTTTGTTGTAGTTTTGTTAGTTTATTGTTGTGTAACATTGTATCTTTTGTTTTTTATTATTTTCAAGTTTTTTTGACAAAAAACCTTGAAGATAATAAAAAACAAAAGATACTCAAACCAAAATTAATTTTTAATTAGTTTTGGTTTGAATATCTGTAACAAATTTTAAAGCCATTATATATGGTGGCAGACATTTGTCATAAGTTGTCATCATTAATTATAAATAAGTAGTTTCCAGTAACAACAGGGGTTTGTTGCAAAAGATTCTGATTTAAAACAAATGATGAATGTTGCACATTGACATTAAACTTTTGAAGCAAGTTTGTGAGCAGAAGAACATCTCTTTTATAAATGATAGACTGGGATTAAGTGTATTCACTCCAAATGCTCTGGATTCAAAAGACATTCTGTTAGGTGTTCACATAATTAAAAATTCAAAGGGAGAAGATCAGGCAGGTGCAATTTTTTCAAGTTTAGGAGATTTTTAACACTTTTTAATACTATGATTGTTTAGATCATGTTTGTGCAGTTAATTCAGGTTCAAACAGTTGCAAAACTGGTAACCATGGAACAATAGCAACTCTTACAATATTATTGACTCCACCATCCTATGGGCTCTCTATATACATCCACCATCCTATGGGCTCTCTATATACATCCACCATCCTATGGGTTCTCTATATACATCCACCATCCTATGGACTCTCTATACAAATCCACCATCCTATGGGCTCTCTATATACATCCACCATCCTATGGGCTCTTTGTATATATGAAATCTACATTTCATGTTTCTTAGAAGTTTTGTTTGGCGGTATTATGGGTTCACAAAAATCACTTTATATTAAATTTAAAAAGGCCTGGCCAGAGAACTTTAATGAAATAAATCAGCTTCATAATGTATCTTTGATTGAAGCACTCTAGCTTCTGGTTCAATTTTTATGTAAAAGCCAAAAAGTTAATAACCTTATTGACTTCATAATGAAACCTATGCTAGAGATGATTACCTCCAAGGAAGACTGAAGAATATATATTGTTCAAGATAAGTATTTTTTTTCTTGGTGGGGTTAATCAGAAATTTAGATTCCTGCAGTCTGGTGCAATTTATGAAGCAAGCTTCATAGCTGATGCAATATATGTTTTAACAGTGCAAATGACCAAAGTTACACACCAGATATTAACAGTGGACAAGGAGGAAAAGTTTTTCTTCATAACTGTTACACATGCCCCGTGGTTCCTAAAAATAAGAATAGCAGCTTCTGCTCTAAGATGTAACGCAACAGCATTAAAAGACTATTATGAGCTGAAGAAATTTTTTTGCTCTAGGAAGTATAAAGAAATGCTCTAATAAAGTAGGGTCCAACTGGCAGTGAGGGGCTGGGGAAGTGAGACTTGAAAAATAAATTAAACCCTTAATCACATAGTTTTTCTGTTATAAGGGTATAGGAAATTTCTAATAATGTGCATACAAATTTCCTTATCTTTGACCATACACTTGGTCTATCAATTTATTTGACACGTTTAAAAAAACAAATCCATATGCAAGGTTTTAAAAATATAGTAATTCTTTATTTTCTGCACATTATTGCCAATGCTATATTGGATTTAAGGTTATGGTAACCAAATACAATTTGTATTTTATTGTTTAAAGAACATAGCCATTAACACAAAAATTAAAACAAAAGAATTTAATTTTAGTTTTATTGTTGTATTTTTTATTTTATTATAATATAAATTTTTTTAAACTATATATTAAAAAAAAAAAAATTTAATTTTTTTTTTGAAATATGAGAATTTTTTTTAGATCTCATAGAACTCATTTTCCGCACTGAACCCCAATTGTATTTTGCTATATAATTTTTATAAATACAAAAAACTGAATTGTAATGTTTACTAAGAAATAATATAATTTTAAATTATAAAATCTCCAGCTTCCTTAAATATTTCTGAGCCTCTCTGGTTGGGAAGCACTGGCTTCTTATAAGCTGGTTCTTATTATTATAATTATTATTATGTTCTAAATGTTTTAATAAAATAACATTCATATCGAGGGGGTCTCCTTATGATGTTCACAATAATTTTGTACCTGCACATTTTTATCTTCACCAGCACATTTTTATCTTCACCAACACATTTTTATCCTCTTCATATAAAATATTTATGCACAACTAGATAAAAATATGAAATTTAATGTTTTTTTGTAATAAATTAGTTTTTTAAACTCAATATAATTTATTCTACCACTAATAAATAACAGCTTTACGATGTCTTTGTATATTTTATAACATTTCATATTTTTATCGTAGAAATAACTACCATATTATTTGTATTGTCTTTGCAAAATTGATGCATATAAACAATAAATAGTTATTATTAATTTGTATTTTTGTGTGTTTTACTTGTGCATCTTGATTTAATGTGAGGCCCAGGACCTTCAGATATGGCAGGGGCTCAATGGGAGATCCCCAACCTCCCTGGCCAGTCCCTGAAAAAAAAGCTTAAAACCTCAACATGACATTTAGATGATCGAATAGTTGTGCTTGCATTAGCAGACAATATCAATAAAGTAAAAATAATAAACTTGCTCATCAATGTTAAACCAGAGATATTTTAATGTGGTTCACACACAAAAGTTCCTAATATAGAAAGTAATCTGACACTTCCTATCCTTGTTGGTTGGGAAAGCTGAATTCTTTTCAACATTGTTTGTGTTTTTGATGAAGATGTTAATCAATAGAATAAGGAAGGATCTGGCTGCTGGGATGATTTGGAGAGCTATGGTAGGTTTGTCAGTTCATAAAAAACATTCAAGTAACAAATGGCTGCGTCAAGAGAAATTTTTGCTTCATTTAAGATTTCTTTGCAAGTAAATCTGTAGACCAAAGGCAAAATGTGATACTTGTAGCAAGAAAGAAGAATAAGATGGCTGCTAATGTTACTAAAAAAACGACAGATGCAACAAAAAAATCTAAAAAAGAAAAATCTGAAAAAATTCAACAAAAAAATTACAAAACAAGAATCTAACAAATTGATGTAATGTAGGATTGAACAAACTCTTTAACAATTGTAATTGTCATTATTTAAATAAAATCTTTTTTTAGCAAATAAATTTTTTTTTTTTTTTTTTTTTTTTTTTTTTAGTCTATAGACTAGGGGTTATTTTTTTCTGGATATTTCTGGAATTCCAGATATTTTTCTCAACTTTCCGGATATCCAAAAAGTTTCCCATACATACAAGTTTAGATATATATTTCTGTAATATATTTGTTTTTTAAGCTTATCACTCATACAAAATTAAAAGTTTGAAAAAAAAAATTAGAAACAATTCAGCTAAAAGCATAATTAAGAGGAAAATACATTCCTGATTTTTTTCTGGATATTTTACCCAAACAATTTTCCAGATATTTTTTTGCTTTTGATATAGAGTTTATTCAATAAATAATTTTTTCCACAAAAAACGAAAATTGAAAAAAAAGATAATGTAATCCTGTTACACATGACCTTAGGAACTGAAACTTTAAGCATCAATTTGATATAAATGACAAATTTATATATATATTCATAAATTTATATATATTCATAAATTTATATATATTCATAAATTTATTTATATTCATAAATTTATATATATTCATAAACTTTCGATACATTTTCAATACTCAGACTTATTAACTGATGTTTTTAATGAACTCAAATAGTACTAAAGCAAAAATAGCATTCATTTTTTTGTTTTACTATAATAAATGTTTGTTTTTAGTACTATTTGAATTATTAAAAAAAAATCAGTTTACAATCCAAGTATCAAAAATCTATGTATATTTCCAATATTTATATTTGATGAAGTGAAAGCCTTTTTTTTTGCAGTTATAGTTACTTTTAGAGTTACTTTTATTTATAATGTCAATATAAATTTCATCTGATTTATATTGCAATAGAGCAAATAATTTTGTAAAGCAAATAATCATTTAATTTTCTTGCATAATGCATAAAAAATCTTAAAATATAAAAACAAACACAAAAAAATGTTTAGTAAAAACATTAATGTTTAGGTACCCTAGTCAAAAAGATGGACAAACAGGAATCCTACAAAATCCTGTTCCAAAATCTTATAGGAGTCCTATCCTAAATGACACTATATATAAAGATCCTATAGGTATAGGCGAACAGGAATCCTATTCAATACTGTTCCAAAACTTTATATGAGTTTTATCCTATGACACCAAATAAACAATATCCTATAGTTTTATAAGCACATAAATCCTACTTATTTGAGTAGGATTTCTGTACATATAAAACTATAGGACATTGTTCATTTGTTGTCTTATAGGGTAAAAACTCCTATAAGATTTTGGAACAAGATTGAGTAAGATTTATGTACATATAAAACAAGGATATTGTTTCTTATAAGACACCAAATGAACAATATCTTATAGTTTTATATATACAGTAATCTTATTCAATGCTATTTAAAATTTTATCGTATTTAGTTGTTTATTGTATTGTCAGTTGTTAAAGGATATTTAATAGAAATATCCTCTATAGGAATATCATAAAAACAGGTGTGTATATAATAATTAAAACAGGTGTGTATATAATATTGGTAAGACTTGGGCATTATCTTTTAGTTCTAAATTTAATAAAAACCAAATTCACAAAAAAAAAAAAAAAAACAGAATATTGATTAAATCAGCAAGTCAGTTATTGTTATTAATCATATCAGTTGTTATTATTATGTCTTAATGTTCCCTATAAACAATATTTTTTTTAAAAATATCAATGCTTCGTTTTGCAAGTTTGCTTTCATCATCGCACTTTGCAGTATTTGCTTTTCTGAACATGGCATAATTTTCCCTTGAAAATCGCTTAGCTAAGAAATCTGAAAACAAAATTATGAACAAACTAATAGTTATACATTACATTCGTTATACAAAGCAAGAGGAAATAGTGTTGCTAAATAAAATATTATAAAATCAATACCTAATATGTTCTGAACCTTCTTTGAGTCCAATGCTTGCTTAGATATGCTACCTTTGACTGATTTATATCGACCTCCAGCCAATGAATGACTTTTTACAACTTTACTCCCAAAAATCGCAATTGCCAAATCTTTGACAGCTTGCCAACCGCTTCCTTTACTAACTGCAGCATACTGATCTGCAGTCAATTGGGTAACTTTTCCACCTCAAAATAAGCAAATTTTAAATTAGTGTATTTTAAGATAAAATAAGCATGTCTTATTTTATCTTACTTTGATATTAAAGTATTTTAATTTTTTTAAATTAATAATTAATGATAAAATAGATAGTTGCTATATAGTTTATTAAATTATTTTTCAAAAGTTATGAACTTGTAAAATCATGTTTACTTAAAAATAATATTACACAAAACGTGTACTACCATTTTGGTCTCAGGCGTGTTAGCTATAGGAGAAAAGAGTATTTATTGGCATTATAGAAGATTGGCACTGAATAAGCTATGTTGTAGGTGAGCTGCTAGATTTATAAGAATTTAAAAAGTTGAGGGCTTCATTTTTTTAAAAGAAATGGATTGAATATCCAAGAGATAGTGATATTCAATTTTTTCCTTTAATTGGTTAACATTTTTGTACATCTACAACATGGTGAAAGTATATTATAAATATATAATTATAAATATATATAATTATATATATAATTATATATGTATATGTATATATATATATATATATATATATATATATATATATATATATATATATATATATATATATATATATATATATATATATATACATATTATAAACTTTAAAATGACGCACCCGAAACTTGGTAAATGACAAAGATTTTTGTTTTACTTAAAAGTTTAGTATTTTACTTTAAAGTCAATTTTCATAGTCTAATTAATTAAATTAGACCTAATCAAGGTTTACTGCTTTACAAAAACAGCAAGCTACATGGCTGATAAATAATAACCGAATTTTGGGTCCATGGTTTTAAATTCCGCCACACACACATACACATATATATATATATATATATATATATATATATATATATATATATATATATATATATATATATATATATATATATATATATATATATATATATATATATATATATATATATATATATATATATATATATATATATATATATATATTATTATTATTATTATTGCTATTTTTTAAATTATTATTAGTACTATTACTTAAGTTATTATTATTATTATTACTTTTATCATTATTAATATATAGATTAATGTATTCCATACCACATTTGCTTTAAAATGGATTTTATCAATTATATGCTTAACTAGTTTTAATTTATTTTCCAATTTTTTTTTTTTATAATGCAAGCTGTTTCATTTTCAGATTCAGAGTCATTTAATAAATAAAGACAAAAATGTTTTGTTATTTCAGACATTAAAATTGGTATAATAAAGTCTTATGTATACTTTACCAAAGCAACATTATTTTAAAATGACCCAAAATTAATTTAATCATTGTCAATTTTTAAAGCCATATATATACCAAGCTTATCGATGCACAATTGGCTATTTTAAAACATTTAAATTTATTATCGAACTAAACTACAACGCCACCTTATCATTAAAAAAATGCCGGCTATTAATTAAAAAAAATGTACATAATTAATCAAAAGTCTTGTTATTAAACACAAAATAATTTCAAGCAAATTAAAATCTAGGTTTTAATTTGCTTTAAATTTGGCTGAACAAATGCACGTTTTAATGTTGACCATAGATTTACAGTGATAAATGTAAAATACAATTTACAAAGTTGTATTTTACATTTAAAAAGCCTATAGGACTTATTATAGACAATTACTTTCATTAGGATATTGGTTTATTCTTATAGGAGTTCTATGAATCTTTTAGGAATTATATTATTTATATATTTATATAATATTTATACTATTAACCCTATAGCAGTTTTATTCTTCCTATTTGAATCCTATTGGACTTTTAGGATTGCAATCGCATTCCTATAGGTATCATATTTATCCTATAGGAATCTTATAGAAGTTATAGGATGCACACATGAATTCTATAGAACCTATAGAAGTGCAATAGGATTCAATAAGGTATGTTGTAAGTATATAAATTTTATAGAAACTATAGGATACATATATGAATCCTATAGGACCTATGGGATTGCTATAGGATTCCTATAGAACCTATAGGATTCCTATAGAACCTATAGGATACCTATAGGAATTCTATTAGACTTATAGTAATCCTTTAGGACTTTAATAGGAATGTAATAAGATTCCTATTGCAACCCCATAGTTCCTATAGGTTTCCTATAGAACCTATAGGAATCCTATAGATCCTACTGGAATCCTATAGGATCTATAGGATTTCTATAGGAACCTATATAACCTTTTGACTAGGGTACCTTTTTAAAAAATCACAAACGTAATGCTATCCAAAACAAGTCACTCAAGTTGTGACAAAGTATTCTGATTTTAAGACCGACGGAAAAATTTGATTTTGTATAGTGTGCAATAAATATGTTTCAATAGAGAAATTATTTAAGCAACACCTACGAATTGAATCAGATTTTAGAAAGGAGTTCAACAACTTTTATATAGAAACTAATTGAGGAAACTTCTATTTCTTTAATTCTTTTAGGTGTTTGCAATTCGCTCATGATTTGTGCAGACTTTGTGGCATTTTTTGTAGCTGCTGACATACCGTGTATAAAATTTATAAAAAAAAGTATTATAGATTCTTTACAAAAGTATAAAGAGTAAAAAGTTCCATCTAAAACCACTCTTTGCGCAGCTCATGTTAAAAAACTGTATAATTTAAGTTATTAAATAAAATTAAAGTTTGAGTAATAGCTGGTTTTATCATATGTAATATTTAAAAAAAGTATTTTACCTTAAAATAACACACTCAACTTGTTTTGCTCATAGATTACAAAGAGTATGTGAGCTAACAAAGTATATATACGAAAGTTGATCGACTTGTACCAAAATTAAATTAAAACTCCGTCAAGACATTAAAGCAAATAACTGTCCATTAAAGAAAAAGCGTAGAAGAAAGGATTTTATTATAGTACATTATTTATTTTAACTGCTTGAAAATTTTCACGACTTAGTTTAAGGACTTAAAACATATTTTTTAGAGTTACGTCATGCTATTGTTGATTAGATGGACCATAACAAATTGGTATCATTTTATGGGTGACACCCTTTTTTTTTATGAGTGACACCCTATTTTGCATGGTATAAATTAAATCTAATATGCTCATTAATTTTCCCTCGTTATAGATTACTTTTTTTTTTAGTTGGTTCCGCTGAAGAAAACAAAAACGACGACAAAGAAGAAATAGTTCCCGATGATAAAGCAGCAAATGATAAAGTAGAACTGTGAAGAAAATTTTTATGCTAAAATTTTTATGTTAAAATTTTTATTTGTTGTTGCATTTATTTTTAATTGCATTTATTTTTTAGAAATATTTTTAATATATAATATCTAAAGCTTCATTTTTGTTGTATTCTTTTTATGGTTAATCGTCGCAAAAAACCCGCTTTTTTGTATTTATATAAAATTATATAAATATAATTTTATATAAATACTATTTCTGTGCAAAGTATTGACTTCAATTGTTGACTATCCCTGACTGCATTCTTCCAATTGTAATAACCATTAGTTGCTAACAATGACATTTTTTCGGTTTTTGCGAATAGTTTACAATAAGCACAAAATATCATACCAGTTTTTGGAGAATAACCAGGCCAATAACGCTGAACTTTCTCACCGTAACTTTCCACATTTGTTCATCATCAGGAAACTTTTTATCTACATCTACAAGTTTATCATATTGCATTTCTACTTTAACCTCTTCTGCTAGACCTTCTACTAGAACTGGTTCATCTTGAAGTTCTTGGTCATGGTTTATATTTGCTGTTGAGTTATTTAATATCTCCATACCTATTGCTTGTTCATGATTATCAGTTTGACAAATTTCAGTTGCAATTGTGCTACTTATCCTCTTGGTGTGAAATGGCGGGAAAAAAGATAATTGGCGAAAGCTAGGAGAAAATATTAAAAGCCACCAGTGTAATGCTCGACACAGAACAACATCGTCTGGAAATCAGCCTTTGAAGCCTTGAAAAATCAGACTGGGATCGATTCAGAACTTGAAAAGTCTGAAATAAGGCATCTAAATTGTATGAAAGCTTACATTGCGTCCTGGACATCACTCTTCATTTAGCTTCGAGAAATCTAAGTTTTCGAGGTGTGTTAGCAGTTTATGTTTATAAAATAATTTTAATGTTGCTTAAAATATTAATCTTAAAAAAAAATAATAATAATAATAATAATAAAAAAAAAAAGTATGTATGTGTATGTATGTGTGTGTATATATATATATATATATATATATATATATATATATATATATATATATATATATATATATATATATATATATATATATATATATATATATATATATATATATATATATATATATATATATATATATATATATATATATATATATATATATATATATATATATATATATATGTGTGTGTGTGTGTGTATGCGTATGTGTGTCTGTGTATGTGTGTATGTATATAGTATATATGTATATATATATATATATATATATATATATATATATATATATATATATATATATATATGTATATATATATATGTGTATATGTATATATATGTGTGTGTATGTATGTGTATATATATATGTATATATGTTATGTTTATGTTATGCTCCTTCCTAAAAACACGACTAATTATATTGAAAAATGTAATAAGTAATGAATAAAATATTTATGAGTATCTCATGAAATTGTTTAAAAAAAAGGGTTCTCGATGACAAGACTTTACACAGTTTTCTGCGAGTTTCCCTTGACTACATAACTAAAGGTTTAATTTTTCCTTTTTTAAGACTTTTTTTGTCTTTTCAAAATATAAACTGAAAAACTATTTTACATTATTTTATTACTTTGTACATCAAATATATCTTAGTATTATTTCAGTTATTTTCAAAGCATTTTGACTGTATTTGTAAAAAAAGTATATATTGTTAAAACTATTTGTAACAAAAGTATGTATTGTTAAAGCTATGTAGTTGTAAAAATATATGGAAAAAAAAAAAAAATCTAGATGTAATCTTTACTTCAATATTATATTTGTGCTGGTTCATCAAACATGCTGAACGAGTATGAAAATGGTAAATTTTTAGCCATTATTGAGCTGTTGGGGAAACACAATAAGATACTTCAGTTCCATCTAGAAGAAATTAATTGAAACCAAAAACAAGGAACAAGAATGCAAGTGCACTGTTTGAGCTGGAGAACTCAAAATGAGTTCATTATGGCATGTGGTGAAACTGTTTTCTCTGCTATTATCGAGGTTCACACAGCCATTTGTTTTTCCATTATTGTTGATGGAATCCCGGATGTGTTTCATAAGGAACAAATCACTTTCGTCCTTCAATTTGTCCGCCTAGGATCTAACAACCAACGGATAGTAAAGGAGTTCTGAAGGTAGAAAATCTGGAAAAAAAAAAGGGTTCTGACATTGCGAAGCTGATTATAGACGTTTTGGATCAAAGCCGAAATTATTTAAAAAACTGTAAGGATCAGGGCTATGATAACGGGGCTAATAAGTCTGGTGTACACAAAGGGTACACATCATTCTTGAGAAAAAGCCTCAAGCTTTGTTCACGCCTTTGCGTGAACAAAGCATGAGGATACAGAACGGATACAGCTCAAAAGACGATGGATGTGTTTTCGTTCTTATGGTGTTCTACATCTCTTTCTAGTGATGAAGAAAAAATGCAAAGTCCTGGCAAATCTCTACGTAAATGATGTAAAAGAAGAGAAGCTGATTGAAGACATCCGTCATCTAGATGTTCTGAAGCAATCAAATACAAATAGAATCTTTAGTACTTTAGTCAATATTTCCTTCAATCTGCATTTTGCTTTTCATTTTTAATACAATCCCGGTTTCAGTGGTTAAAGGAGAGCATTCTTTCAGTAGACTTGCTCTTGTCAAATCCAAATTGCGATCAACAATGACTGAAGAACGCCTTACTAAACTTATGATGATTTCAATTGTAAACGACCTTGCCAAGACTTTATCGTACAAATATGTCATCTCTAGTTTCGCAAAGAAGATACTCCGCTAATTGAAATTAGTTTGATCTGACTAATCTTCATAATTAACCTTTTATTAATGATATATATATAATTACATTCATTTTAAATTGTATTTGTATTTTCGCTTTATCATATATAACCAAGTTCAAATACAGAGTGTTTATGTGTAACGATAGTTAATACAAAAATAATTATTGCTTTCATTAAAATGTGATAGTAGATATACGGACGATAAACAGCGAAATTCATGCTTAATTCAATACACCCAGAAATCCAAAGTTTGGGGCACCAAACAAAAATTGATCCTGGGCACCACAAAGTCTCTGTGCGGGCTTGTATGTATATAAGACATAACAACAAACTATAGAAAAAATTTAATGTTGTTGACGTGAAACTGTTTAAGCTTAGAATAAAAAATCTTTAAAAGCTTAGCATAACTTTTTCAAAAGCTCTTGCTTTTGCCTCGCACACAAAGTCCTCACTTATCAAAATACAAATGTTATGTGTGGTTTCAGATTCAACAGCGATTTAAGTTCTTGGAGCTCCTTTTATTAGCCTCATACAGCAGCAACAACTGGACTTTTCAGTGTGGCCCTATCTTTTTGAAAAATACTTTTAGGAATTGCTAAAAGTATCTATGTGAAACTTATTTCCTTTAAGGAAATAAGTTTCACATAGATAATCCATGAATAATGTTTGTAAGTTTAACGTCAGAAACCAAGATTATATTTAGTGTTATATAATTATTAGTGCATCTGCTGCAAAGTGGTTGATTTTAGGCTTAAAACCAAGAGGTCTGAGTTTCGACACCGGTTTTAGCCCATTAAGCGACATTGGTAAGAAAGGAGGCGTGAGCTTCCTAGTAAAATGTTCTTCTTTGGTGCTCTGTGGTATAACCGTTAGGACTTCTTAGCGCACCTTTGTAGCACCTAATGTTTTTACCACTCTTAAATTGTCATTTTTGAACAAAAAGCCTATGTTAGTAATTTTGACCTGTTTGTAACATAAGTGTTTTTCTGTATTATGGATCTTCCAACATTATTAAAAACATCTTTTTTTACCTTTGTTATCTTTTCAAACCATAAAGTTCAAAATGATTTTCCACATTTCAAAATGATTTATTACATTTTCAAAATCAGAAAAAAACCGATGTAAGTGATCATTTTCAAATCTTTTTTACTTATAATTCAATATGCAAAGAAAAATCTGACAGGATACCAAACAAAATAATATATATATAAAAAAGGGAAATAAATGAAAATAGTATTAAATTTTTTTTGATTGAACTGTTTTTTTTTTAAAACAGTTTAATCAAAAAAGATTCCGGTCCCTGATGACATAAGCTCTCACGTGGTCAAAGGAATTTATGATGTTATTGAATATTCTCTCTTGTACATTTTAAAATGGAGTTTTTCCTGAACACTTAAAATTAGCACGTGTAGTTTCGATATATAAAAGAGATAACTCAACTTTATCAAACTATTTCCATACTTTTATGCTTCTCGAAAGTACTAGAGCGCATTATGTACAATAGACTTTTTTTGTACCTCCAAAATCACAATATCCTCTTTAATAAACAATACGGATTTAAAATAACCATTCAACTGAACATGCAGTAATAAAGTTAATTAACGAAATTTTGAATGGGTTTGACAAAAATCAGTATCCACTTGGAGTATTTATTAATTTGTCAAAAGCGTTCGATACATTGGATCACGAAATCCTTCTATACAAACTTAGTAATTATGGTATAAAAAATAAAAATCTAAAATGGTTTAGTTGCTAAACAATCGGAAACAAGTTTACATTATAATAAAACTTACACTTCCTTTGAAACCATTACTTGTGGCGTTCCCCCAGGAATCTATTCTAGGTCCTTTTCTTTTTATATTAACGACATACTTTTATCTTCTCGTATACTGAATTTTATTCTTTTTGCTGATGACACCCAAGCTTTTTACACCCACTCAAATATTAAAACTATTTTTAACACAGTAAATCAGGAGCTTGAAGAGCTAAACGATTGGTTGAAGGCCAACAAACTTTCCTTGAACATTGAAAAAAGCAAATACATTCTTTTCACAAAATAATCAAAGTCAGACACGTTACCATTAAAACTCTCAGATGTTTTAGTTGACAAAACAAAATTAAATAGACCATTTTCTGTAAAGTTTCTAGGAGTCATTCTAGATGAACATTCTAGATGAACGTTCTTGATGAACATTCTAGATGAACATATTAGCTGGAAAGAGCATATCAAGTAGTTAGAAAATAAAATATCTAAAAGTACTGCGATTATGCATAAAACTAAGTATATTTTAAATAAAGTCTAAGAGTTTATACTTTGTATTTGTTCATAGCTACATTAGCTACTGCAATGCTGCCTGGGTAAGTACTTACCAATCAAAACTAGTCTTAGTCTATAAAAAACAAAAGCAAGCATGCCGCATATTCACTTATATATATGCTAGTGCCAAACAAATAATGAAAGAACTGAGAGTTCTTAATAATTATGAATAAAACATCTATAGCATCCTTCAGTTTATGTTTAAATTAAAAAATAATTTGGTCCCAAAAATATTCCATAATTACTTCCAACTTATTGATCATAAACACGAAACAAAATATTCTAAACAGAACTACTATATTCCAAAAATGTCTTTGAGACAATCCAAATTCTCAATATCTAAAAAAAGACAATTATTGAACTTATTTCTCACAAACGAGATAAAAACGTTTAAATTTTTTATTTCCACAATAGCTGGAAATGCTAATGGTTATATTTATAAAAATGCATTTAATTGTATTTATATTTGTAAAGATACATTTATTTGGCTATTTAATCATACGAGTTTTTATATTTATATATTTAAATATCTTTTAATTTGTGTTTATCTTATATATAATTAATGTTTATTGTAAAATAAATTGAAACTAACAGGGCAAGATGATAAGACCATTGTCTTCTGCTTAATCCAGTCAATATGTTACGTTATCAATTTTGTAAAAAAAAAAAAAATTTTACATTGACGAAAAAGATTATATATCTAACCACAAACATTTCACTTCTTATCTTCTTTATAGATGATTTATCTTTGTACAAAAAAAGCATTTCTTTGTTTTTGTTTTTTTTTGTTAATTCTACAAATAACATTCAAATGAGAATTCATGTTCAAATTGAATCGAGTGTCTACAACTTCTTTAATTAGTTAAACCAGTTGAACTATTCCTCTTTAAAGATATATTTTTTTCTCGATGCAATTGAAATATATTTCCTATTTTCTAAAGATAGACATTTTTTTTCGATACAATAGAATTTTCCTACTTTCTAAGTAAACTTTTTTTTAAACAAAACCTTTTTGTTGATTGAAGTTTAAATGAAATGTCTTAATAAAAAAAAAAAAAGATCACACAATTGACGTAATAAATAATACTCACTTTTCTAAATTTTGACGTATTTGTGTCAAAGTTTTGTAAGCAGTCTCTTACAATGAGAGGATTCAGGTAATGGAACCGCGGTGATTATATCTACAAGCCAACATGTTTGATATATAACGCGAAAGCTTGTTATTTTATCTTTATTTTTTAAAAAATTGTTAGACTTCATAAAAATAATGATTCTAAAACAAAGTTTTAAGACCTTACGGTAAAAAATTTTATATTGGCAAACCAACACTTTTCACATTGAATTTGTCAACCTTTTTTTAATTAATCTACGGTCTTGGCCTTTTTTCGTTTTATTAATGATTATAAACAATCAAGAATGGTTCCAAATGAATCGACAACACTTCCAAGGTTGAAATGAAAACAATTTTGTAATACAATTGGAGGAAACAAACGATTCCACCTAAAAAGAAACCAAACTTTTTTTGCAATTTTCACCTTAGTCGTAAGAAATAGATTTTTATTTCTTATGACTATGTTATCACGGATTCGCGCAAAATGAAGACCAGTATATTGACGTTTTTAATCTCTTTTGCAAGTTGTTGAACAGCATAGAAGGCAAATTCTATATTTTTTGAAAAAAAAAACTATATACATTCTATAGCAATATATTAAAGAAAAAGTCAAGTTAATTTTATTTTAAAAGTTTGGTCAGATCTGATACGTTTGTACTCCAAGAAACATACAACAATTTAAATTTAAAGTCAAAAAAGTGTTAAAAATTTTTTCAAAATTCAAGAAGACCTAAAAATAGTCGAGATTGAGACTATTGTGAGAAGCCAAGTCTTGCTTTGAAAAATCTCCTTTCTTTGAAGTTTAAACTTTTTTAGCTTTTCGAGATTTCTTGTATCTTTTAACATTATCTAAACTTCTATTTTTATTAATTTATTGTTGTTTTTTTTTAAATATTTCATAAGAGTTTTATCTATTCTATGATTGGAGTTTTTTAGTCTTTATGAACACGTCTTTTTATTAATATAAAGAAATTTGTTTGAAAAAATATTAAGTACTATATTAGAACTTTCAAAAAAATTTTATAGTAATGACTTTTATAAAGCGATGTAAAATAACTGCAGAGAATTGACGTAAAGTTATAACTTTTTTTTAATATTATAATTCAAAATAGATTTTTGTATCGCTCTGGGGATTGAGTAGGTCTATGCTAACTTTTATTTATTTTTTTAATATATAAACAGGGTTCCAAGAATTTTTCACAATGTGCCCCCCTGGGTTAGTCGCTTTGCTCGCTTTAACTACGGGGACAATAAAATTTTAATATTATAATTTAGAATATATTCTTCCTAGAAATCCGTGATAATACCAAAACGAACACACTGCACTGCATCAAAACGCTAAATAAAACTTAGAAAAAGTTTTAAAAAAACAGATTCTATATATTTTAGACAATTTAAACTACATTTAAAAAGTATCAGTTTATAATTAATTGATTATAAAATTATTTAAAAATTAAAAAAAAAAAAAAATATATATTGTTCTATTTGTCAATTTATTTCAAACTATATCACTTACCATATAGATATACAATTATAAAATTAAAAATCAATGTTTTCAGGAAAATTCAATAATATACATTTTTAAACATTTTTCAATTAGCATTCTGGAGCCGAAATTTCATAACCGGAACGATGAGAGATATTGAATGCAGAGGAAATATTTTTAAATTCGTGATAAAATGTTAAAAAGTAGCATGCAAAACTTATCACCATAATCCATTCAGAAAATGTACTCACCAAATGAGCAGGATAACCCTTAAATGAAGAAACAAATAGCTAAAATCCATATAAAAATAATTTAAAGAAAATATTTCAAACTGCAGATTAAAAACTATCTATATTAAAAAATAGTTGAAAAGCATGAGAGAATAACACAGGTCAAAAAAAAATTTTTTTCTGGTGTCGAGCAAACAATTTGTTTTTTTTTAATAGCATTTCTCATTTTGATTTCAAATATGCAACAACAAAAAATTATTCAAAATATGTCAATCTGGATCTCAAAAGAAACCTATTTTAATAGAGATTTTAGAAAACATAAATGCTTTTCTTTAAAGTTTACAAAAAAAAAAATTGCGTGAAAAAAAGTTAAAGACTCTTAAAAAACTTATTTTTATTACAAACGAATATTATTTTTAAAATCTCTATGAAAATACGCTTCTTTTGAGACCCAGGTTGACATACTTTTGAACAATTTTTTTGACAATTATAGAGATTTTACCCTAAATGCTAAAGATTTGAACCCAAATATCTTTACAACTTGATGTGATGGTGAAAATGAGTTGCATATTTGAAATCAAAATGAGAAATGCTATACAAAAAACAAATTGTTTGCTCGGCACCAGAAAAAAGTTTTTTTTGTTAACCTGTGTCAACAAAATGTACTTTAACAACTTGGGGAAAAATATAAGTAATTAAATAAAATCAATATTTTTATAATTAATGTTATTTATTTATTAATAATTTTATTCTATTTTACTTATTTAATTATAACTAATATAATTAATGTTATTCAAATAATTTACCGGATCACTAGAATCGAACTCTATCATAGTATGGTTAGAAGTTCTTTTTGAAAACTTAATGTTGGCCACAGAAGCTCCGATGAGAGTTGAAATAAAAGTTATTGTTGCCAAACACGAAAATGCCAAACGAAACCAAAGTTTTAATTTTGAACTAAAAACTCTTACATATAGAAACGAAATGTATAAATGAATCCAACTATAAGTTATGCCACAGGCAAAGCACATAAACGCACCAATCATATGAACTAGAAGAGCATTGCTTTCTTGAAAATTAGAAACAATCATTGCTCCTAAAGCAGTGAGAAACCCGAAAAAGTATGCTATGTCATTTAAAGTGTGAACACGATAGTTATCAATAGAAATCTCCACATGGGAATGTCTTATAATAATGATAATAAAAGCAAATACTGAAGATAGATTGAGTAGCATACCAAATATACAGCTAGCTGGAGGTTTACTACCAGTATCACTTATATAAGGA